CTATTGTGAGCTGCACCAGCCTGACACAGACTGGCCTGCTGTCCGGGGCTGCTCGCTCACCCTTCCAGGACCTGAGCCCGCAGCGTGGCAGCGGGGGTTCCTGTGCTGAGCAGGGTTTTCCAGGAGCACCTGCTCGCCTGGCTGTGGGACAGACAGAGCAGCGGTGCTGCTGCACTGAGGCAGTGTGTGTGCGCTGCTGCGAAGCACTGTTGTGTTGCATGGTGACCTCTACAAGGGTGGAGAGGGAGCGAGGCCGGCGGCGGGGGTGGGGGAAATGCTGCAGTTCCACAAACATAATGAACGGCATTGATTTGTAATAGCAAACTCTACTCTAGATTCCGGATTGCTGGGGGAGGGGACCCACAGTGACCCCAATTCCAGCCTCTTCCAGCCCACTATGGAGATGACTCCTTGCTGCCTGTAGGAGGCAGGGGGGACAGGTGTTCAGGTGACAGCAGAGGAAATGGGAGCAGCAGGTTGGGTGTGGCGTGCTGAGAACCCTGCAGGGGGAAGTCGGTGCCGGAGAGGCAGCTGAGCAAGGCAGGGGAGCCCGGGAAGCAGCATGACCTTGGTTTTGGTGCAGCCCAGCCAGTTAATTGTTTGAGTCACATATTGCCTCCAGCTTCGGCTGCGGCTGCTGTCAATCTCATTGTCTCTCATAGGGCAGGAGTCCAAAGGGCAGCTGGGAGCACTCCCTGGCCCTTAAAAACACCAGGCTGTGAAAGGACAGCTGCCATGTGGAGGAGCTTGCTGGCGAACCTGGGGCTACAGCCACCATGACTTCATGCATCCAGTCCAGGATCCCATGTGGGACCTGGGGAAAACGGCCTAGAAGGGTGCTGCACGTTTACTGGGCTTCCCATCCCAGTAGAGAGCAAGTGCAGGGAGGGCTGTGGGAAATGTTTGTGTCTCTGTTGGTTTGGGGGTACACAGAACCCCCCCCCCCAAGGACAGGTGCAGCAGTTCAGGGCAAAGCCAGGTGGGCAGAATTCCTTGGGCAGAGACAGCCCACACCTGCACTGGCTTTGCTGGGGCAAAAGTTGCTCGGTCAGGTTTGGGGGTTGAGATCTCTGAGCTCAGCATGTGGGGGAATGGTTTTGGCTCATACTTATCTGGGCAGAGCTGGGATCCAAAGCAGGAGAACTCAGCTGAGTGTCTCTTCTAGGTTGTGGGGTTCAGACCTGAGTCTTGCTTACAGTCTGCTCTGCACCGGCTCTCAGCATGGCTGGCCCCTCTGTGCCTTGCCCTGGCTCATCCATCCTGAGCTCTGCTGGCCCTGCAATGGCTGGCCTGGCTCTGGGCTCTTGGCTGGTAAAATGATCTATCTGACATAGCAATAGGAAGTGATCCTCCAGGCTGGGAGGGGGAGAGAACTTGTATGTCTCGACTGCCCAGCTCCCAGGTATTGTGGAGGTTGGGAGGGATTTCCAGTCTGGCCTGAGGCCCCCCTTCAGGTCTCACGTGGGCAGCAGAGAGGAGTGGGGGCTCCTGCATGCTTTGGAGGGCTCTTGGGTGCTGCAGAGCTACTTTGCACTGGGTTCAGGGCTGTTGCCCGCAGGTTGGAGGTCTCTGTCCTCAGAGCCTCCCATGGTGACCCTCCAGGGAATCCCTCCTTGCTTGGGATGCCTTGTAAACAGGCTGTGGAGAGTGTGTCACTGGAGGCGAGAGGGACCCAGTTCCTGGGCCAGAAGCCATGAGCCTGTTGACCTGCAACAGCTCAGGTGTGTGCTGTGTTCTTCTCTGGCCAGCTCCTCCCCTCTCCCAAGCAGTCTGTCCCTCTGCTCCCATTGTCAGAGGGAGCTGCATGCCCAGGCTGGGTAGAGGCTGGAGCCCAGTCTGCCATCAGGGGCAGACTGTGGGTGCAGAGCCGAGCACTCGGCTCTCATTGAACGGGATGCCCTGGCCTGGCCCAGGCACAGTCTCCTCCAGGGTAGGGGACCCCCTGCTGGGGAAGTGTCAGCAGCAAGCTCCTGTGTGTGTGTGTGGGCGGGGGGGGGGGGGGGGGGTGAAGGTGTGTGGATTGGATGGAGGAGGCGGCCTGGACGTTAGGGCAGTGACTGAGCAGTGCAGCGTGCCAGAGGGCTGGGGAGGGCCCAGGGCATGTCCGTAGAGGCTTCCCACAGCCTAGGGGACTCCTGTCATTTTCGGCCATGGCCATGGTAGCACTGGTGAAGCACTGGAATGGGTTACCTAGGGAGGTGGTGGAATCTCCTTCCTTAGAGGTTTTTAAGGCCCGGCTTGACAAAGCCCTGGCTGGGATGATTTAGTTGGGGATTGGTCCTGCTTTGAGCAGGGGGTTGGACTAGATGACCTCCTGAGGTCCCTTCCAACCCTGAGATTCTCTGATTCTATGTTTCATGGTGGGTATCAGGACTCTCATGAAATGGCAGTGCCCCCTGCCGCCCCTGACCCAGTGGGCTGGGACCCCAGCGAGGGAGGAAGGCAATTCTCCAGTCCCGCAGGGATTTCACACGCAGCAGTGACAGCCTGTGCTCTCCAGGGCGAAGGGCAAATCTGCTAGCACGGGAATGGGAGGAAGTGACATAGCTGCTCCTTGCTGCTCCATCTGCGGCCTGGTCCGGGCTGGGCCCTGTTCTCAGGTAGGGCTGGCTCCTGTGGTATTTGCAGGCACTGTCTCCCGCTGAGGTGCATTTAGGGACCTGTGGGTGCCTCAGGCATGCAGGCCAGGCCCCTGCTTAACCTTTCCTCCCGGGCTCTAAGCCCTGGGGAGCCACTTAGGGATGGGAAGAGCAGCACCTAATCCTTTCCTGAGCACTCTGCCATGCCTGCTATTCCTAGTGCTCCCCAGTTACAGGACAGCAGGCTCTCCATCCCTGCCTGCCTGCGAACAGGACTTGTTCTCTGCTGGGGAAGGCGGGGAGCGAGGATGTGAGCCAGCCCCTCGGGCTGCTCTCCCTGGTCCCTGCGCTGTGAGTAGTGTGCCTGAAATGATGAGCAGGAACTGCCAGCTGCCCCAGCCCGCTCAGCTGCTGTGGTCCCAGCCTCCCAGCACAGGAGAGGGAGCTTCACCACTGCAGGTGAGAGGCCCGGGCCTGGGCCTGACCTGCAAAAGTCTGTGGGTGGTCCCCAAACCGAGCAAAAATTGGAACGAACCCTTGGTCTGGCTGTGATGTTCACCGTCCGTAATGCAGCTCTGTCACATGCCGGTGAATGCGTGAACACGGGAGATACACGCAGGGGCTTGCATGTGCAGCCAGATACACAGAGCCACACGCTCCCCGCACATGCAGCCACACAAGCCATCTCCCAGGGGAGCTGGAAGGCCTTTTTGCAGGGTGGAGGGGGGATTATTTGGGCCTTCTCAGCAAAAGGGGACAAAGCTAAGTTGGAGAACCCTGCAGAGGGTGAGGCCAGCCTGTTTCGCTTCTGCTTCTAACCACTTTCTTGGGCTGGGCAGTTGGGGTTTTATAATTGCAGCAGATAATGGCAATGTTTAATTTTAAGCGGTTTCGATATTTAAATGTTCACAGTTGCAGGAAGTTCTGGGGATCAGACTAATTATTTAATGACAGCAGATGTTGATATTCAGAAAGTTAAAGCACAAATTAACACACAAATTATCCACATCCCATGTCAAAATATACCAAGTAAATCTCCTTCCATCCACTCTGGTATGGCCTCAAGCAGCAGTTCTCTTACTTTGCCGAGCTGTAAATGATGATTAGCGTCGATGGAGGTATTTATTATCGGGCTGTGCATGCACAGTGAAATCAGCCCTGACCGTTACCTATCTGTGACACCGGCATCCCTGTGTGCACATGCAGACGCTCACCTGCATGATGTGCACGTGCCCATATATACAGACCTACGTGTAGACACTGGCAGACTCATTGCAGACAGGGGCACATTCAGATGTGATGGGAGCCCCGTGCCCCATGCACATCCAGACATAAGACAGGATAGGAGGAAGCCAAAATGTGGCAGCAGGAGTTGGGGCGTGGGGGGGTGGGGCTGGCTAGCACCGCCTGCAGTGTCCATCGCCTTGCCGCACGCGGGGGCGGCTGCGGGGTGCACGGGTTGTGCTGTGTTGAAGATGCAGCAAGTGCCGAGCTGTCCCCAGCACCCAGAGTTACTTGTGGCCCCTGACGGTCTCCTTCGGTAGTGCTGCCTCTCCACTGATCTCTGGCAGTGCCGGTACAGAGCTCATGCAGGGCTCGCAGACACACCCGGCTGTGCTCTCCGCAGGGAGCTGTGCAGTTCTGGCTCGAGCCCCAGTGGGGTTTCCCCAGCCAGCTGCCTTCTCTCCCTGCCTTTGATCTTTTCTGTCTTTGATTCCTTTTCTCCATCCCACCCCACACTCTCTCACCCCTCACACGCTGCAATCAGGCAGCAGAGTGTGAGGGGGGCCCAGATGCTCCTGGAGACCCCGAAGAGACCCAGCCCTGTGCAGTGGAGCAGGCCGTCCCTGGGGAAGGGGCCAGCCCCTGCCTCCCAGAGCATGCTGAGGAGCCGGCTGAGACGCAAGCAGTAAGAGTCTGAACTGTCTCTCGAGGTGCATGGGAATGTCCCTCCAGCCTGGGCCATCCCCACACCGCTCCCCAATGGGTCCCCAGCCCTGACCTCCGGGAGCCCTGAACCCTTCGGGCGTGAGGAAGATCCTACCACTTTGCTGACCCATCCCCATGCTCTCCCAGCCCCCCTCTTGGTGCATGTGATTATTAACAGCAGATTCCTTGCACGCCTGCATTAACGACCCATACGGCGGGGGGTGGGGCTGGGGCTGGTGGCACTAGATATCTACAACAGCTGCTCAGCTCCCAGTCTATAAAGTTCCACCTGAGCTGAAAGTAACCTGCAAACGCGGGTAACAAGCCCTGCGACGGGACTAGTGGGCGGAGCGCATGGGCTCGTTCCGCCTGCCCTCGCTCCGTCATGTCTAACTCTGCATAAACCAGCACGCTCCTCTCTCTGCCCCGCTCCCCCTGGCTGCCCCTGATCTCCCCCCCACTCTCCCTCCCCCCGCACTCCCTTCTCTGCAGATAAAGCGCTTCCTGAAAGGAGACTCGGAGGAGGCAGAGCTGGCCCAGTTCCTGAAGGAGTTCCCTTCAGGCGAGAGCTTTAGGAAAGTGGAGCTGGAGGAGGGCAAGAGGGCCCATGGCCAGGGGCCCGTAGATCCCGGCGTGTTCTCCAGCGTAGCCCAGCCCATTGCCGATGAGCTGCTGGACGAGAAGGAACTGAGGCCCTTCTCCCGGCCTCGGCCCCTGGACTTTCAGCAGCACATCGCAGCTCCGGCACCACTGAGCCCCTCGCGGCCGAGGAGCCCATGGGGCAAGCTTGATCCATACGACTCTTCTGAGGTACGGTGCATCCCGGGCCAGGCCTCTCAGTCGACGAGGAGCTCCAGCCTCTGGGTTACTGGGAAGCAGGGAGCCAGGTGGCTTGTACAGCTCTGATCTGCTGAAGGATCTGCCCGTTCGCTGTGCGAGACGCCAGGGATCAAGACACCTACACACTGGGGCTAGGGCTCGCATGGGCTCCTAAATCCATTGTGCCTGACAGCCTGGGTCTGCGATGGGCCGAGCGCTCCTAGATCTCGCATGGACTTCCCTGGAGCTGAGGGTACTCGACTTGTGCCGGGATTGGCTCCAAAGTGTACCAAGTCCCTGTGCAAAGGCCTGTCCCTGCCTCCTGGCCTCTCCTTGCTAGGCGGCAAGGACGATGCTGTGCACTGCCGCAGCGGCCGGGTACCCTGTGAAATGTAGGTGCTGGCCCTCACCCCTGTGGAGGGCGGCCTCGCCTGCCCCGGTCTCCGATGCTGTCCTGCTCAGGCCTGTGAGAGCGGTGCAGGCATCCCGTACACAGCTGGCCGGGGAAAAGCCAGCCTGAGCAGGCATATCTGAGGGCAAGCCCCAAAGCTGGGGAATTCAGACACTGCCTCACTCCCAGCAGATGGGCTCTGTAGTCATCAGCGAAGGCTCTTCCCCTGCCCATCGGGAGCTCTGGACTCCTTCAGCCGGAGCATCCCTGCCAAGGGCAGAGGTCAGAGGGAGCCCTAGCCTGCTTAGGGCTTTGGCGACAAGGGCCAGGGCGTAGAATGGGGCTGGCTGACTGCTCTCCATCCCAGCGGCGGGTATGCCCCGGGGGTAAGGGGGGAGTGAAATGGTGGCACTCCAGATTCACATGCCCCCCTCCTCTGCCCTGCAGGATGATAAGGAGTACGTGGGGTTTGCGACGCTCCCCAATCAGGTCCATCGGAAATCGGTGAAGAAGGGGTTTGACTTCACGCTGATGGTGGCAGGTAGGGGCACCCCTGAGGCCTCACCCAGTAGCCCTACAAAGGGGCCCCCAGGCACAGGTGTGCTGGGACAGCTGTGGGGGAATGTGCCTCCTGCTGCGGAAGCAGAACTGACCTGCACGCTGGCTGAAAATGGGCAGAGGAGGAAGGAAGAAGAGACCCCAGCAGTGCAGATTGCGGGAGCTGGGCAGGTGGATTCACACTCCCGTGTTCAGGAGCCCAGCATGTCCCGGGAACTCAGCCGCAGAGCACAGCGGAAGAGATGCACGTCTTCCATTCCTCTCCCCTGTAATCCTGGGAGTGCCTGGGCTCCAGCCATGCCCCTGCTGCTGCTTTTGGGGAGGATTCCGGACACATGGGGTCTGTGGGTTGAGGTCACACTTCCTGGGTTGTGGTGCTTTCGTTTCTGGAGCAGCAGCTCCGGATCCTGTCTCTTTGGCACGTGCCCTGGGACCCTAACAGGGGCCAAAGGAACCCAAGCCTCTTGCCTTGCTTCTGATCTCCATGAACTGTTGTCTTTCTGCTTTCCCCAGGAGAGTCTGGCCTGGGGAAATCCACCCTGGTGAACAGCCTCTTCCTCACTGACATGTACAGGGATCGCAAACTCCTCAGTGCAGAAGGTAAGAGGAGAGATCAAAACCTTCCCTGTCCCAGCCAGCTGGGAGCAGCCAGGGGATCGGCAGGGAGGGAGCAGCCTGGCCCACTCAGCAGGGAGCACTACATGTGGGGCTTGCTAGAGCTCAGTGCCTGGTAGGAGGCAGCTATGGGTGACGCAGCATAGACGGGCTGTTCAGGTGAGAGGGACGGATCTTCGGTGGGGTTTCCTGCTCTCTTTTGAGGACGTTCTTATGCCGGGGCCTTAGGAGTGAAGTGAAATGGGCGACTGGGCAAGATCCCCGGCTGGTGGAAATCAACGCCCTGGAGCTGGTCGAAAGCGTCTGCTCCTTAGACGGAGCTTCAAGAACACAGTGAGGGAGTGGGATGCTGTTGTAGAGACCTTCCTGTGAGGGGTGAGACTGACTGGGGGCCTCTGGCAAAACATCCCCCACCAGGGGGAGTCCTGACTGGGGGCCTTCTGGGAGAAGCCTCCCCGCCCCCGAGGGGAGCTCTGACTGAGGCCCTCTGGGTGGCATTTATTTGGAGAGATTGTGTAGAGTTCATACCTGTGGGCGTGGGTCGGTTCCCACTGACGCTAGTGGGAGCTTTGCTTTGGCCCTCTCACGCTGGCACAAGGAGACCCAGCCCTGCACAACAAGGGCAAAGGGTTTGGCCCACAGGTGTCCTAGTCCCCGTCAGGTCCAGTTGGCTGGCGGCTCCGTCTGTGCTCCCTGCCGGGTTCCACTGGCCCAAGCTGACCTGTTCCAGGCCCCCTGCTGATGAGCTCAAGGCGGGGTCGGGTGGGTGGCTGTTTCCTGACTGGGATCGTCTCGAACATAGTTCCTGGGGTGGCTCCAGCTGCTCTGGGCGCAGGCAGACTGTGCTAGTCCTTGGGCAGGTGGCACATCTCCTGCTCTAACATCCAGCAGGAGGCCGGCTTACTGCTCTGATTAGCGCAGTGAGGATCTTGTCTGGCTTCTCAAAGGCTTGGCTCCTTTCACCTCCGCTGCAGTTAGCTGGTGTGCTGACGCCCACTTGCTGAGAGCAGAGAGGAGTCTCCATTTCCCGCTGCAGATGAAACACTGCTTTTGTCTCTGAGGGTGTCACGGAGTGTGGGGGGACACAAGGCCCTGCACCCCTGGCTTCCTGCGATTTACCATGACTCTCAGCCAGCCAGTAAAGCAGAAGGTTTATTTAGACGACAGGAACACAGTCCAAGACAGGTCTTGCAGGCACAGACAACAGGATCCCCCCCAGTTAGGTCCATCTTGGGGTCCCAGGGCACCCCAGCCCCCTTGGGAGGTCAGAGCCCTGTCTGCCTCCCAGCCATTCCACCAGCCAGCTCCTGAAACTCTGCCTTCAGCGACCCCTCCCACAGCCTTTGTTCAGTTTCCCGGGCAGAGGTGTCACCTGGCCTCTAACCCCTTCCTGGGTTCTCACGTTACATGCTCAGGTATCTTCCCTCAAGACCAGTCTCCCATCCCCCAATGCAGACCGTCCTAGCCAACCTCCCCTGCCTTCCCAGCCAACACTCCCCACTCAGCATTCAAAGACCACATTAAGAACAGTCCAAGTTCGTCACAGAGGGTTTTTATAAAGAACAACTGTAGCTATTGCCATCTCCCGTGGCGCCCCGGTAATGGGCCCGCATATCCATTGAAGGGTTTCCCCTCCTTTCCCAGCCGCTCGGCTCCCTGCGGCCACAAGTGAGCAGGACTAGGCCTGTGTCCTGTCCAGGACAAGTGAGCAGGACTAGGCAAGCCCAGCCCCCTCCTCCCCCCCCCGAGTGAAGTGTGTCACTTGAATGACCATCACTGATCGTAAGTGTCCACTGCAGGGGTCCTTCCTCAGTATCTGGCTAGATGGCCTGGTCTGGCAGTCCCTGTGTCCCAGCCGGAGCAGAGCCGATGGGTGCCACGCAGAGCCGCCCTCATCCCTCTGCTGCCAGAGAGACGAGCTGCTTGGACTGGGAGGCAGGAAAGGTGGACCCACATGATCACTGTCCCCCAAGGGATGAGTTACAAAGGGTGGGGTTTAGAAAGTCTTCAGCCTGCCCAGGCCCCTCCCGCCTGAGCACTTGCCTCATGCACAGGAGAACACGTCTGCTGTACCAACCCCATCCCTCTTGCTTGTATCGCTGAGAAACAGGCTTAAGCCAAACAGCTAGAGCTGCTCTTTAAAGGAAATAAGAGTGTTCACACAGAGCTTTGTACCAGTTTAACTACAGCAATGTAAGCACCGTTTGTGAAAAGCCTTCTCATGGCGGCACGGCCAGAGAAGGAATCAGAGCCCCTTGTTGGGCTCGCTGATTATCCGCAGCAGCCGGGTAGAATCTCCTCAGAGTCTGAAACATTTTCACCCCTTGTTCAAACATTTGGGGTGGGGAAGGGCAGGGGGCAGGGAAATCACAAAAACGTCATTCCAAACTTTCCTGTTTTTATTTTGTAATTTTGTGAATTTCAACATTTAGACAAATTCCCCCCCCAGGTTTAATGGAGATGTCTGTGGGTGCTGGAAGCTTCACAGGTCGCAGCTTGAATTAGTATTCTCTTGCACATCCATTCCTGTAAATACATTAGTCTGAAACATGACTAATGGGCCCCTTTGGATTGTTCATTATTCAGCCATCCAATCAGTGAGCAGAAACAGAATCAGGTAGCTCAGATGACCAATCGTACCTCACGCGTAACGAGTATTCACAACAGCCTGAGCAACACACAGGCTGAACATTGCTTGCTCACGTATTTGGGTGTAACGATTGCCTCCATGGAAAATCAGGATTAATCCCGCACGATTTGTGGACTAGAGCAGGAGCTAAATTCAGCCAGCTTTGAGCTCTGCAGCTGGGTTCGGATGGGGTTCACGCCCTGTTATACGGTAGGATGTATGCAGAGTACAGCTGGGGTTTGAGATCCTGCCTGGACTGGAGGCAGTTAGAGAAACTATCCTTGGATTTATAATGGAACCTGTTTGCTGGGGAAGTCACTGAGGCCCAGATCCTCCAAGGTAATATAACTGGGCTCCTAACTTCCACTGATTTAGTCCAATTAAAGTCCTAACTACCCCTGCAGCTCTGGGTTGGAGTGACTAACTGCCAAGCCCCCGGTGCTGCCCTGCCATCACTTGTCAGCACCTCGGCCACAGCGGACGGAAAGTCACAGATGGTTAGTTTCTGGCACAATCCCCCATGTGTCTCTGGGCTGAAGATGGAGAGTGCCCCTGCCAGGAGCCCACTGACTGAGAAAGAGCCTTCCCTAAAGTGGGGGCTTCTGCTTCTGGGGGAGAATGAGCAACCTCCCCCAGCAGAAGCTTCCTCAATGTTTTCAGGCCTCGAGTTGGGTCTGACCTAACCCCTGCATCGGCACCCTCCTCCTCCCCAACACTAGGGTGGAAAAGGGCCTCCAGTCGCCGGAGGGAGTTCTAGGGTCTGTGGTATGCAATCCAAGCTGCAGAGCGGCGCCTGTCTCTGCTTGCCATGAGCCCCTGACCTCTTGCCCAGTGGTTGCAGCACTCCCCTGGCCTGAGCAGAAGACCTGTGAACAGGGATCTGCCACCTCCCAGGAGAGTGCCCTAACCAGGGGCCAAGGGCTGATCTGCCCTGGGCTCCTCAGTCTCTCCTGGTGAAGCTGTTCCATGGTGGGTACAGAATTAGAGCAATTGGAGCAGGGGGACCAGAACCGCGCGTCTCCCTCCCAGGTGAGTGACCTGCCTGCTGGGCTGGCAGGTAGCAGGGAACGCCTGCTCCTCTGCTTCTCGCGGCTGCTTTGGGTGGAGCTGGGCGGGCTGTGAGCGCGCCTGTGGGATCGGGCCCTGCAGCAGAGTGCAGTGGAGGAATGCCCCATTCGTGGCTCTCACTGGGGCTCAGGTGCTGCAGGTCTGCCAGGGGGCTGCATTGCGATGCCCAGAGGCAGAAATGTCAGTGTGTGTGGTCCACGCCCCCAAAGCTACAGATTTTAACCAAAAACTGCTCAGCAGGTCACCTATCACCAGCACCCAGACACCCAGTTCCCAATGGGATCCAAACCCCAAATAAATCCGTTTTACTCTGTATAAAGCTTATACAGGGTAAACTCATAAATTGTCCGCCCTCTATAACACTGATCATAGAATCAAAGAATATTAAGGTTGGAAGAGACCTCAGGAGCTCATCTAGTCCAACCCCCTGCTCAAAGCAGGACCAATCCCCAACTAAATCATCCCAGCCAGGGCTTTGTCAAGCTGGGCCTTAAAAACCTCTAAGGATCGAGATTCCACTTCCCCCCTAGGTAACCCATTCCAGTGCTTCACCACCCTCCTAGTGAAATAGTGTTTCCTAATATTCAACCTAGACCTCCCCCACTGCAACTTGAGACCATTGCTTCTTGTTCTGTCATCTGCCACCACTGAGAACAGCCTAGCTCCATCCTCTTTGAAACCCCCCTTCAGGTAGTTGAAGGCTGCTATCAAATCCCACCTCACTCTTCTCTTCTCTGATAGAGAGATGTGCACAGCTGTTTGCTCCCCAGATATTAATCACCTACTCTGGGTTAATTAATAAACAAAAGTGATTGTATTAAGTATTAAAAGTAGGATTTAAGTGGTTTCAAGTAATAACAGACAGAACAAAGTAAGTCACCAAGCAAAATAAAACAAAAACACACAAGTCTAAGCCTAATACATTAAGAAACTGATTACAGGTAATATCTCACCCTCAGAGATGTTCCAATAAGCTTCTTTCACAGACTAGACTCCTTCCTAGTCTGGGCCCAATCCTTTCCCCTGGTACAGTCCTTGATAGTTCCAGCAGACATCTTAGGTGCAGGGCCGGCTTTAGGCCAATTCCCCCAATTCCCCGGAATTGGGCCCCACGGGTAAGAGGGCCCCACGCCTTAGGCTCACCCGGCGGCGGTTCGCTCCGGCGGCATTTCGGTGGTGGTGGGGGTCCGCTCCAGGGTCCTCGGGGGCATTTCGGCAGCGGAGGGGGGGGGGGGTCCGCTCGGGGGTCCTTGGGGGCATTTCGGCAGCGGTGGGTCCTTCTGTGCCGTGGAAGACGTGGAGCGGACCCCCCACCACCAAAGTGCCTCCGAAGACCCGGACCGCCGCCGGGTATTGGAATCGGGCCCCGCAGTTCCTAAAGCCGGCCCTGCTTAGGTGGAAACTAGGGGCTTTCTCATGACTGGCAGCCCCCTTTGTTCTGTTCCACCCCCTTTTATAGCTTTGTCACAACGCAGGAATCTTTTGTCTCTCTGGATTCCCACCCCTCCTTCTAAATGGAAAAGCACCAGATTTTAGATTCCAGTATCCTGTGAAACCTCATTCTTCATTCCCCATGGGCTGGCCCAAACGTACACAGGAAGGCTTGCAGGTAAATAAACCATCTACAACCAGTTGTCCTAGTCAGTGGGAACCATCAAGATTCTAAACCATCATTAATGGCCCACACTTTGCATAATTACAATAGGACCTCAGAGTTATACTTCATATTTCTGGCTTCAGATACAAGAATGATACATGCATACAAATAGGATGGACACACTCAGTAGATGATAAGCTTTGTAATGATACCTTACAAAAGACCTTTTGCATAAAGCGTATTCCAGTTACATCATATTCACATTCATAAACATACTTTCATAAAGCATATGGAGTGCAACGTCACACTCCCCTCCTCGGGGACGACTGGAGTCCGCGTGGTTACAAATTTCCCACAGGAATTCAAACCACCAAAAGAACAGGAGAGATGCCCCGAGCGGCCAGGGCAGAGTCCTGTGTGCATGGTCAGTGCCTTGGTACTGGGGAAGTGGAGGCAGCATTGTACCCCTCAGCCATGCACAGAGGGGATTCTGTGTATATCTCTCCCCCATCTCACAGGAATTGGGGGCTCTGCTGCCTCCATGGAGAAGGCTGAAGCCCTGCCTGGGGACACCCCCTTTAAGGCTGTCTGAAACAGCTCTTAAAGTGTCAGGTTTCAGAGGGGTAGCCGTGTTAGTCTGTATCAGCAAAAAGAACGAGGAGTACTTGTGGCACCTTAGAGACTAACAAATTTATTTGAGCATAAACTTTCGTGGGCTAAAACCCACTTCATCGGATGCATGCAGTGGAAAATACAGTAGGAAGGTATATATATACACAGAGAACATGAAAAAATGTTCTCTCTGCCATACCAACTGTAATGAGAGTAATTAATTAAGGTGAGCTATTATCAGCAGGAGAAGTGATAATCAAGATGGCCCATGTGCAGCCCAACCAATGACAGAGGCTGAGTGAAGATCTCTGCCAAATGACTCCCCCCGCCCCACGTGTGCCAAGGTGCTGGTGGGCCCAGCACCGCGCCTTGGCTTGGAGCCGTAGAACGCAGCACCTCAGGAATAGCCTCGGAAAAGGGCGGGTTAAATGGCAGAGCCTGAGAATTGCAAACAGGTCACAGATGCTGAAATGACTCCAGGCCCATTTACACAATCCAAAGGGCTCCGCTGCATTAGCTGAGCAGGGGATGGGGGGCGGGCTCACACATTTCCTGGCACGTCAGCCCCCGGAAGCTCGGTCCTGACCGAGCTTCCCTTCTCAGGGTCTGGGGAGCTGCATGGGAACCAAGCGCTTGTCACAGCCAGGGCCCTGAGCAATGTGTTTGGGGCTCTCCGGGGACAAACCAGATCTGTTTATATACGGTCGCTCTACAGCAGGCCAGCTCCTTTGCTGCAGTGCAGGGCCATGACGGAGGCGGTGCCCATATCTTCACTGTCCCCACACTGCAGCCATAGGAGCTGCTATCTCTAAGCAGTGCCAGTGTGGCCTTCGCTCGGGCCCCAGGGCAGCAACCCTCCCTGCACCGAGTTCCCCCTCCGAGGCACGGGGGCAGTGTGGCAGCGTTAATGTAGGCACAGACTGCAGCATGGGGCCTTGGGCATGGCCAGGGAGCGGCTCCTGCTCAGGCTCTTGCCCTGCCCTGGTGAGTGTAAAGAGCCCAGACTCCTCTGGAAATCACCGGGGGACTGATATTCCCGTCACTCCCTTCATGCCGCCCCTTTTCCTCTCTCTCAGGGGAGCCCTGCAGCTGCCTCTTCTGCACTCCTCTCTTTCTACCTCCCAACGTGCTCCCTGCTCCCTGCCCGCCGTGCGTCACCACCACAGGAGTGCTCCAAGTGCCCCTGGCACAGGCGCGCAGTGGGGGAAGCGGGAGCCAGGAGCTCTCTCACCCCCAGCCCCTGCACCCCTGAACAAGGGCCAGGCCAAGTCGAGGGGCCTGCAGTCAGGAGAGCACAAGGGCTGTCCCCTCTGAGCATCCATGGGCACAGATCGCCCCAGAGAGCAAGGGGAGGAGCTGAGAAGAAGCCAAGCCATGGTCCTGCCCCCATACAGCCCTGCCTCTTTGTGCTGTGGAGCTAAGACAATCCCTTCTGATGCTCACTGGCAAGGCACAGCTCTGCATCGCCCCCAGGCCGCGCCAGTGCTCACCGGTACCTGGCGCAGGCTGGCCCTGCAGCTGCCCCACGGGTAACTGATCTGGGTCTCCGCCGTCCTGGTGCAGCCAAGCTCGGCTACCCCCAGCCCCTGCCGGATCAGCCCACTGACTGCTTTTGTTGCTGTTCCAGAGCGCATTACTCAGACGGTGGAGATCACCAAACACGTGGTGGACATTGAGGAGAAGGGGATCAAACTGCGCCTGACCATCGTGGACACCCCAGGATTCGGCGACGCCGTGAACAACACGGAATGGTACGTCCCACAGGAGAGGAAGGGGCCATGGCTCCGCAGTTCGCCTGGCAGGATGAGCAGGAGCCCGGGCAGCCATGCCCACTGGGCAGTCTGGGCCCTGGAGAGAACAGAAATGATACCAAGTACTAGATGAGCGCAGGCCACTGCACACAAACCAGCCCTGCCCCACTGAACTGCTCACATCCTCCTGGGGTGGGGCAGCAGAGACTGGAGGAGGCTCAGGGTGCAAGTCAGGCTTTCTGCTAATGACCTGGAAGCCTGGTGCTCAGTGGCTGTGCGGGACAGACACTGGTCTGGAGAGAGGAACATAAATGCAGTAGTAACTGAGCCATCGTGTGCAAAGGGGTCAATCCCGGAGGGCAGTCCTGGTGTCAGTGCTTGTCAATACAGTTATCGATGACCCCGGAGAGGGAGCTGAACAAAGTGGCCATGTTCATGGCTGGCGCAGAATTCCTGGCTTCTCAGGCTGCCTTGTGGGGTAAATGTCTGGTCTGGTCTGGCTGTTTGTTGCTCCTGTGATTTATCTGCACAATGCATGCACAGCATGTGAGGGACTCAGCCAGGAAAATGACTTTGGTAAGCCAGCCTGGCACACTCCAACTCTTACATCTGCCAAAGCTCCAGGGCTAGGGATGTGTGCATGCAGGCCCTGACCCCACCTATGGTGTGAGGTTCGCCCATTAACAAACCCCATTGTTCTGGATTCATTTCTGCCAGTAAGTCTAGCTTGGGGTGCAGAGAAACACTTAACCTTGAACCAAAGGAAGTAAAGGAAATAATGCCACCTAGCCCTTAAACAGCACTCCAGAGGGAGGGTCCTTATCCTCATTTTACAGATGGGGAAACTGAGGCACAGGGCAGTGACTTGCCCAAGGTCACCAGCCCGCCAGTGGCAGAGCTGGGACTAGAACCCAAGTCTCCAGAGTCCCAGTCCAGTGTTCTACCCACTGGGAAACACTGCCTTTCCCCAGACACAGCTACCGATCAGACAAACCGTATGGCCAACCTTAAAAGTCCAACAATCCTGGCCCAGACCCCAACAGATGATGAGACCGGCCCAGCGATTTACCAGAAAAGATGAGTGGCTTTTTCTCTGTTTGTTTGATCGGCTTCCCACCCCCTCTGTGCCAGTCACAGCGGGGCCAGCTCTGCCACATGCCCAGGGAGGCAGCTGTGGTTCCTGCTGCACAGAGGGATATGCTGGGCTCGGCCCCAATGGTGCTATGCTCTGTCTGAACACATGTCAGAGACAGCCCTTCCCTGAAGAGCTTACAGTGTAATGCAGAGCACAGGAGTGCGTGGGGCTGTGGGAGCTGGAAATGGGGCCAGAGCCCCCAGACGTGTGGTAGCTACACTGGGCAGGATTCAAACTGGTGACAGACACCCAGCACCCTCTCTCCCCCTCCCCCAGGTGTGAAGGAGAGTGAGGCTGCTCTTTTAAATCAAGTTCAGGACCCGGCTCTCCTGCCCTGGACACAGGCAAAATCCCACCCCAACAACTGCTCTCGGTCTCAGGCCACCGCAAACAGCCAGCTCCCATTAACCCAATAAATAATAAACTGCACCAGCAGAACGAATGTTAGTACAGTGTCCCCATTGCACAGCTTACAGTAGACCCCTGCTAACAGTCACACCAGGCTCCTCTCCCTAGCAGCTGTACGTGTTTCCTGCTCCCCGGGCTTAGCAGCTGGGTGTGAACCCACCATCTTTAGTTCCATAGCTCAGACCTCTTCTCCGTTAGCTGCTGTTCTCCGTGGGCTGACCTGTACCGGAGGACACAACTCTCCTCTGTCCCGTGAGCTACACAAATATTTGTGAGACAGCAGCAGAACATGGGGCAGCGGGATCTGTGGCTTGTCTTCCTGCCTGTGGGAGCAGATTGTGAGCTAGTGCTCATAGACAGAGCAGTGCCCGTGTGTGGGTCATCAGGGGCACCGCGGGGGGGACAGCATGAGCTTCTACTGCTTGAGCTAAAGAGGCAGCTATCATAACATGGGTCTAGTAGCAGAGTCCCAGATCTCTAGCTGTGGTGTAATTACTAATGAGTGACACAGAGCCGCACTGTGCTAGTGTGGGCTACAGAAGCACCTGATTTGGCACATCGCTTCTGTCAGGTGAGGGGTGGCTCTGTTACATTTTCAGCACTTTATGATGTGCTCTTGCACATGCTCTGTTATCTTAGCTGAGGCCTGGATGAAGGACAGTTCCCCAGGCCTGCGAGGTTAATTCGGGATGCGAGGCTGACAGGAGGATGAGAATTTCCCCTGATTGCCCTCCGCCATTTGCACTGTCAGAGATCAGATGCTGGCCTGGGTTCTGGTGCAGCCATCCCTGTGTTTCCGCACTAGTGAAGCTCGTAGCTTCTCACATCTGGGGCCCGGCTGGAGAGGCGCAGCACTCCTTGCAGCTTCTGCAGGACAATGGAAGCAGCTAATTCCGAGCTGATGGTCTTACATTTCCTAGTGCAGGGAGTTCTTTTAACATGCTGGCCGGCGCACTGGGGACTGGGCTCACTTGGCTCTCTCCACCCTGTCCCCTCTCTTCCCAGCTGGAAACCTGTGGCTGATTACATAGATCAGCAATTTGAGCAATATTTCCGGGATGAGAGCGGCCTGAACCGGAAGAACATCCAGGACAACCGCGTGCACTGCTGCCTCTATTTCATCTCACCCTTTGGACATGGGTATGGGAAATCCACAGCCGATCCCTCCCTCCTTCCCTGAGAATGCTAAAAACCACCTTACCCACAAGTCCTAGACACAGCACTAGTGAGCTAGACCTGCTGCTCAATAAATGAGTGCTGGCCCTGGGTGTGATGCTCACAGCGCTGGACTCCCAGCCAAGCACTGACGGCACTGCTGCAGGGGTCTTGACTGAGGGCTGCTGTGGGAACGCTTGCATTGCAGGGGGCTCAGCGGGCAGTGGGGAGGCAATGACTCTAGGATGCTCACGCTGCCGGAGTCCTGTCTGGGCACTGCTAGGGCACTGCGCTGGGGAAGCTCACACTGTGGAGTCCCCAGCTGGCACTGCCAGGGCAATGCTTGGCGGATGCTCGCACTGCCGGAGTCCTGTAGCTACGAGAACGTCCTGCCCCAATTTACAGGGCTAACTCTGCTCTCTGTCGACAGCCTTCGTCCCCTGGATGTGGAATTCATGAGAGCTCTCCATCAGCGGGTGAACATTGTGCCCATCCTGGCAAAAGCTGACACCCTGACGCCCTCAGAGGTGGAGCGCAAGAAAAGCAAGGTGAGAGGAGGCCTGGCTGCCTCTGAATTCCTCCCTCCCCCCAGCTCAAGTAATGGACTGCTCCTCCCGCCCCCGCCCCTGGCTGACACTAGGGTCTTTCACTCTGGCACTGCATCTGTACTGGAAAAATGGGAGCCACAAGTCCTCACCAGCGCCGTTAACCATTGACAGCCAGAGGAGCAGCTGTGTGCTTCCTGGGACTCAGCCAGGGTGTCCTGCACGTGTCTGGGCACCAGCCTGGTACAATGAGCCTGTCTACACCCCAGCCTCGGCCATCACTCCCCGGGTGCTGCTGCACCTCAGGGTATTCCGTCCCATTGGGTCACTGTAGCCAAGGCCTGTTTTAAACAGGCATTTCTATAGGGCTCCTCCCAGAGTACCTGAGTGCCTCCCTCAGTATCCCAGGAATGGGAGAGGCCAGGACAGAGAGGGAGCTGCAGAGTCCTACAGGATACTAAGGGAAGGGACAGCAGGATTCAACCCCTTTGAAATGGAGGATGTAAGAGACAAGAGCTGGTCCCTCTGGCCTCATGGAGTCTGAGGATTGGTGAGAAGAGGGAGGGAGGTACAGGCCCAGGCTGCAGAGAGTGCAGCTGCCACACCCTGTGTGCCAGAGGGTCCCTGGGGCACGAGACAATGGTCAGAACTGGCCCTGGGGAGAAAGCGGCCCATGTACCATGTCGGGGACCTGGCCTGTTTGGAAATGATAGGAAATGAACCACCGGTGTCTGGATTCTACTGTTCGGTGTGAGATGGAAGAACAGACAGTAGTTGGCATGTAGGTGAGCATAACGTATTCCTCTCTCTCCCTTAAAATGAGGGTGCTGTAAGACAGGGTGAGTGCCAGAGCCATCAGTCGGGGGGCTTGTTTCTTTGTTCAGATTCGAGAAGAAATCGAACATTACGGGATCCGGATCTACCAGTTCCCTGAGTGTGACTCTGATGAAGATGAGGATTTCAAGCTGCAGGACCAGGCATTGAAGGTGAGCGGATGAGAGCGGCTATCCCACTGAATGCAGCTCAGGGAACAGGGTCAGAGTCACCTGCTAAGCCCCAGGTATATCTTGCGTGACACATGCAGCCAGACATGCCTCAGCCCAGTGGCTTCTACACCCTGAGAAGGGCAGCTTTATAGTCCAGCCAGAAGGGAAACCTTCCTGGATCATCTGTTTACTGGGAGGGAGGCTCTGACCAAGAACAGGAGGTAATGGAATTAGACCCCACAAGGTACGTGCAGAACGCAGCAGCCCCTGGGCATTAGCCAGTTCTGGAGAATCACCTGATCTAGTGAGTAAGGAGCAATGGGAGGGAGGGTTAAAATCCACAGGCGTGGGAGAAGGGTGGGGGATCCCCAAAGGCTAGATCCTCTGAAAAGGAAAGAGGCAAGGAGCACGAATCAGGCAGTGTGGCTGCAGGAGGGGCTGCTCAGAGATCTGACACCCTGAAAATACAGCGTGTAGGGGGAGCAACCAGACCAGTCCGTATTCAGAACCAGCCCAGGGTTTGGAGGGAGAGCGACCAGCAGCAGATAAAGGAATGAGTGGACATGTACCAAAGGACTAAGGCAGCTAGGTCTTCCAAAGTGCGGGCATTAGAAGAGCCCTGGGGGGAAAGCACTAGAAAGAGACAGTGCCCAGGTTAGGGAGGTTTCGAAGCCAGCAGAGTGACAGCTGCCTTTGACAATAAATCTTTTAAAAGAAACCTGAAGGAAAGCTTATAGACTGTGGTCACGGGGACTCGGTGTTACTAGCTGCTGACAGCTGCTGGCAGTGAGGAGAGCTGGACACACACTGCTGAGCGCGTCAGCTGAGTTCACGGCTCCTTTGCCAGAGTGGCCTGTAAAGCACCCTGGGCCTGCTCCTGCTCCCGCTCCCGCTGGCGTCGACAGCAAACCTGCCACTGAGTCCAGCATGGGCAGGATCACGCCTGCAATGGCGTCTCCCAGCCTCCTCCCTGGGCTCCCCCTGCCCAGCCAGCAGCGTCACTGTCACGTTGCTGTCATTCTGAGCTCGGGGGGCACAGAACCAGGGTGGTGGCCCAGCACGAGGTACCGAGCTGCCCTAGCCTGTAGCATGGCACGTCAGGCCCGGATGGTGGACGCCAGCATCACACTGTGCTGTATGGAGCAGAGGGAGGGGCAGCCATCCAGTTGGTTCTCTGGGCTAGTAGGGGATCTCTGCTGGCTACTGAGAGCATGGGAGGTGAGCGGCTGAGTGACGGGCTTGCAGAAAGGACCAGGAGGGCCAGTAAGATGCTGTTTCCCTGCCCAGCTGGCAGGAATTGCAGCAGGATGAACACAGCAGTGATTTGTCGCGAGTCCACTGCTGCTGGGCTGCTAGATCAGCGTCTGGGCCCAGACTCGCCCTGCTCTGGCTCCCATTGAACCGTCAATTTACATGGCTCTTCCGCTCCTAGCCAGCAGCAGCTCTCCAGGTCCTTTCCAGCCATTGCTCTGGGGTGCTCTGGCTCCTGTTCAGCGGGACATACCTGGTACTACCAACCCTGTGTGACCCTTTGCAGCTGGCTTCTCCCTTCCAGGCCATCTCCTCTCTCACTGCTCCACTTTCTCTCCCGCTGGCCCCGCTCCTTCCCTGAGTGCTGATCTCAAGGGGAAGGAGCGCCAGCAGTGGAAAGCTACTTGCACTCCCGTGCCAGGGGCTGGATTTAGCAAGGGCTCAGACACGGTGTATCCTTCCAGTTGTAGTTTGGGCAACTTTGTGCTAGGTGGTGGCTAGTGAGATCCCAGTGAATGCATTAACCAGGCTTGTTAGCAGGACTGCAGAGCAAATAGAGGGGGCGTCTACACTGGAGCTGCCTGTGTAACTTCCACTCAGGTGAACGCACCCGCGCTAGCTGGGTCAGAGCGTCACCGCAGCTGGACAGGCCGTGCGAGTACGTGCATAGGAGCTCCGATGGGATTGTTCTCAGGGCAGCCAGAGCTACACCACTGTAGTGAGCAAGCTGGTGCGGGTGTGTCTGCCCACATGGGGAATGACAACGCCCACTTCAGTGCAGATGGACCCTGGGGTCCCAGAGCACTGGGGCTGGGGGAGGCCGTGGCCAGGAATAACCCCATGGCTCTGTTCCAGGAGAGCATCCCTTTCGCTGTGATCGGCAGCAACACGGTTGTGGAGGCCAAAGGAAGGCGAGTCCGTGGGCGACTGTATCCCTGGGGCATCGTGGAAGGTAAGGCGGGTTTGGCTTGTAGCTCAGCGGCTCAGGGACCACGTCCTCCTCCATGTTCCTGCGTCCACCCCCACCCCCGGGGCAGTGGTGCTCACAAACGGGGACTGCTGCCGGACTCAGCAGGCAGGGCCGTGGCTGGCGATCTCAGTGGGGGTGCTCGGGGGCACTAAGGTGCTGCCCCACCTCCACATGATTTGGGGGAGGCCAGGGCGAGGTCCCCGGCCTGCTGCAGGGCCCTCCTTAGCCCTCATCATCCCCTCGTGCAGCTATGGAGCCAGGCCAATTCAAAGCAGTGCTCTGCCTTTCTGCAGTGCCGGGCCATTTGTTCTCTCAGCCCTCAGCTCCCCCACCCACCTGGGGGAGGCCCTGCTCTGCTAGGTCGCCCCGAGATCTGCCCATCTAAGCCAGGCCCCTCCCCTGCAGTGGAGAACCCTGCGCACTGTGACTTTGTGAAGCTGCGCACCATGCTGGTGAAAACCCACATGCAGGACCTCAAGGACGTGACACGAGAGACCCACTACGAGAACTACCGGGCACAGTGCATCCAGAGCATGACCCGCATGGTGGTGAAGGAGAGGAACCGCAAGTACGGAGGGAGCGGGCACAGGGCCTGTGGGGGTATGGCGGGAGTGGGCACAGGGCCTGTGGGGGTATGGAGGGAGCGGGCTCAGGGCCTGTGGGGGTACAGGGGGAGCGTTCACTGTGCATGTGGGGGCATAGCGGGAAGCCGGCTCAGGGCCTGTAGGGGTATGGAGGGAGCGGGCACAGGGCCTGTGGGGGAATAGCGGGAAGC